GTATATGTGTATGTATGTCTTCTATAATAAAATATTTTACTTGAAAAATTAGAGAAACCACTTTCTATTTTCTGGAGATGTCAATATTTCATAGGCATTCAATTGATTCTGACTGCCTTTTTAAAGCTATGAGTAGAAATAAAAACAGAAAACACCTAACGGCTTTTATTTTAAAAGTTTAATGCACCCTAAAATACCCCACATCACAGATTGTGTATAATTTATCATCCTTCAAAAAACTAATACTAAAGATATTAGATAATATATAATAGCTGTGGGACGGACTTCTACAAGAGATCCTTCCTGCCTAAAGCCATCAGCATCTAGAACAACTCTAATGAAACTAAGATGATGAGCTACAACAACAATTAATTTCCTTTTGGGATTAATAAAGTATTTTTGAATTGAATAAAGGTGTTTTATAATACAATCGTATGTACAAATGGATGAAAATACACAAAAGGTGTCCAGTTGATGCATTGGAAATTTAGTGGTGTTGAAAAATGAAGAAGCATAAAATGAAACAAAAAGCCGTGTTGAGGTGTAAAGGTACACGTAACAGATTTACAGTGTAGTTACAGTAACAGCATGAAACTGATGGTTACTTTCATTTTGAAATTTAAGGGTTTTAGCATTGTTGCAATGCACTAAACTTATTTTGAAGACATTTTAAACCCCGCCTCTCGCACAGTGACTGCTGGATATGGGCACCAGTGACCCCCGCGACCCGAAAAGGAAGAAGCGCGTAAAAATGACGGATGAATGGATGTGTGTTATTCAACCATTACTTTAAAATTAACTAGCTCAACAACTAGCGATAGCACTTGGAAAAAGTTTACTCATGTTGAACACATTTTGTAGTTTTCATGGCATAAACACGACAGAAACATATCCTCTGTGAGGTGAAGTAAACACCTGCTTCTAGAGAACATGTTGATAATAATTACAACAAAATACTGCCTCTTCTCCGACTTTACCTTTGTTTTATTTTATTGCAAATCTTGTGATTTGATTTAAATCACCCTTTAATATAAACGGATCTCTTCGGCCTCATCCTCGCCTGCCTGCTTCTCTCCTCTCAGTGTGCTTCGTCTCTCTCCTCCTCTTTGCTGTATTTCTGTGAAGGAATGTGCTCTTGTTTTTGGCTTCTTCTTCCCATTGCTGTCTTTTAGCCTCTCAGCGTGGGGACTTTGGGATTGCGGCAGAGCTGCGTTGCCATGGCAGCTGGCTGTGTTGCCGAACTGCGATCACCTGGGATTTGGAGTCTCTCTCCATAGTCTCCCCCTCCTCTCTTATTTATTCCACCTTCCTCTCAGGTTTTCTCTGTTGTAGCACAGGCTATCAGCACCCCTCTCTCCTGCTGCTGCTCCACGCTCCAGACATAAAGTTACATACCAAATGAGACGACACGCAAACAAAATTCATGTCCATACGAGCACCTGCGTGCGCCTCTTCACTGTCTTCATCCTGCCACATCCCCATTTTAATTTCCTCTGTGGTTGTCTCTACTTTGTTTCCCTCTCCATTCCCATGTGGGGGTTCAAATGTGGCATTGTGGGATACCACAGTCCCCTGAGTCTGCTGCATACATCACCGTCTCTGTTTCACTTTCAAAACACAGCAGCTCTTTTCTCTGGACCGCACTTCAAAATCTCATTACTTCATTCAAAGTGGAATAACATTGACTTTTAACTAAACAGCTGGGATTGATGTCAGAGCTGTGATCATGTACACACACTCACACAGGAGCTGTCTGTGAATTTTTTTTGCTGTTAGTGTGTTGCAGAGAAGTTAACAATCACACATAGAAGGCTTTCATGTAATTTCTCAGCTGCTTATGTAAAATAAATATGTCCTTTTGTTTACCTTTGCAGGTTTTTCTTGAAGTTCTTTCTGAAATGTAACCAGAATTGTCTGAAGACAGCAGGAAACCCAAGGGATATGAGGAGATTTCAGGTACATCACAATTCAGTGTGTAGAAAAAATGCAAACGTAGAACTTGGGGAAAACTGTCGAAGTAATGAAAACATCTTCTTCATATTCATTTATTTCTATAAAAAGCATAATTTTGCATCCAGTCTGTTTCAATGATGTGTTTGAAGTACAAACTTTCACAAGGCAAAGCTCTGTTGGAAACCAAAGACGGAGGAAGGAGTTGAAGGTGGAAGTTAGAAATCAATAAGGAGCCAGAGCGATGGAAAGACAAACGAAAAGAGTTAGATACGTGGGAGACATGGTCGTGGGGGTGCTGGGGTGCAGGAAATAGGTTGAGGTGTTTCAGGAAGTTGTCAAGAATTGAGTGATTGGCTCCAGATGGAGAAGGTCATGCTCCGTGACCCAGGAAGTGGTCACAAGGGACACTCCGAGCTCACTTCCTCTGCCGTCTTTCAGCACCAGCGGCCTCTGTCTGGCATTCTCCTTTGCCCAGCGAACCCCCTGTCCCCTCTCCATCTTTGGTATATACCCCCCACCCCCCACCCCATCTCCCAGCATGTTTGGTTTAACTCCTGTGGTGTGACACATGCTGAGAAGTTATGAGCACACAGGCGCTTGAAGACTCTCATCTTTGGGTTAAAAGGTGATCAGAGCCAGGCAAGAGTTCGCTGCTTGATCGATAATTTACAGTTATTTTCCTTTGGGTTCCCCTTTATTTTCCCACCACCTATAGAACATATGTGCTCGCTCCTCTTTTTCTCCTTTTGTTTCTCCTTCACATGCAAAGTTTTTTTCATGTGTTTGCTGTGGCATAAATTATTTAAGTACTATTATTCTACCCACTGATTTATATAATTCAACCCCCTTAAACTGTGCATTTAAGAACACAAAACAACTTCTTATCACTTTCGGAAACAAATATCCTAACCCACAAAAAAAATCCTCACTAATAATTCCTTGATGATTCAAATGTGTCATCCACAAGAGGCAGATGTGAGCAGCGACACACACATGCTGCAGCCAGAAAATCAAATTATTGTTGCTATATATCATCCGCTACTTTAACGGCCAGCTCAAATGGGAGATTTAGTCCATATGTTTGTTGTCATTGAGGGATTAGGAGGAGACAATGACGAGCCCGATGCATACTGCATGAATCATAAAGTTAGGCAAGAGGCCATATGGAGACCTGATGGAGGAGTGTGTGAGCGGTGTCACCTCCCAGAATGCAGACATACCGTGGAAATCCCAGAGATGTCACATTACCCATTAAGAAAAATGACCGTCACCTGAACCCCTAAAATAAATTGTTGCTCAGGGATTTTGATTGTTGCAACCTGAGATTTTGACCCACAGCCTCAAGTGCTCGACTTTTCCTCATGTATCTTCTTCTTGTCTTCCTGTTCAGGTGGTCCTGTCCAGCACAGTGAGCGTAGATGGACACGTCTTAGCTGTGTCCGACAACATGTTTGTCCACAACAACTCGAAACATGGCCGGCGAGCTCGCAGGCTGGAGCCAGGCGAGTCTGTGGAGAATAGCATGGAATACGGTAAGACGTTCACTCTGAAATACAACTCCTCATTTAGCTGATGATTTGTTTTATTGCACAAATTGTGATGTTATTGTTGGATATTGTGATGATGATCTCAGTTGTGATAGTCTCACATTTTCTTCCATTATAAAAACATTCAAAATACTTTTGGCATTTCAGAAACTATCAGCTTTATTTAGATCACTGGGGTTCCTCTGATCACTTTGTGACTAAAACGTACCTTTGTAATACTGATAATGCAATGACAACTTTTTGATTTACAGTGCAACCTTGACACAAGTTGATGTTCATCGTTGTCTCCACTACTCATAAGTAGGAACATGGAGTAAAAATATCCAAAGATTGTACCTGAGTTGTTTAACCTTTACACATTTTCATACCTCAGACATACAAAACAGTAAGTAATACACAAATAAAACAAGTCTAAACTTATACACTTTGTAAAAGAAAAACTTAGCATAAAAACAAAGTGATTATAAGGTTTTGATCATAATTTTCAGTTATTTTTTTTTTTTACCAAATGATGTTCAAATGTGGCTGTGTAGTGCTGCCAGATTTACAAGAATTTCTTACACTTTGGTGCTTAAGGCAATTTGAGAAATCAAACTTCTCCTGTTTGCAGCTTTTCACATTTTCCAACAAATAGTTTTCTATTTTTTACTTAGTCTGAATAAACCGCTGAGCTGAGTCGGTTTTTAGGCATTGCTACTGCGCTTGAACTTTACAGTAAGTCAGCCTCCCCACCATCACAGACATCTACACCTCCAGATGCAGGAAGAGGACTACCTGCATCATGAAGGACCCCACACACCCAGCACACACACTTTTTGCCCCGCTCCCCTCAGGCAGAAGGCTGGGGAGCATTAAGTGTAGAACCACTAGGCTGAGGAACAACTTCTACCCTGAGGCTGTTAGACTCATGAATCTCTAACCAGGAAAAATCACTGCGAAAATTACTGTGAACAAAAAAAAACAAACAAAAAAAAAAAACTGTGAAAATCACTGTAATGCCACTTGGTTGTTTATGCGCTGCTGACTATCCATGATGCTGATCTCATGCTGCTGATTACTTCATGTTGCTGTCTTCATTAGTCCTCATCGGCTCACACAGACTCATGTTCGTGCTGCTGTTGTTTTGGTGCATTGTTTTTGCACCATTAGTGCTTAGTGTATTCTTAGCTTAGTGAATGTAATATATTCTTAGTTCATGACTCGGATCTTACTAATGTTTTTCTTTACAATATGTATTTTTGTTGGATGTAACTGGGACCCTGTGTACATAGTTTTGTTCCCATGTACCACATGTGATGTGAATGACAATAAAAATCCTTGTATCCTTGTAAACAAAGACAATGATTTTTCCATTGTATCTTTATGCTTGTCCTATAGTGTATTTCTTTTACTAGTTCAGCATATATTTGGTCATTTTTAAGGTAATTTCCAAATAGCTTTTCTCATTAAATTTATTTTTAAAACCCATTTTTTGCAGTAGTTGACAAATCTCGAATGAAATTAACTTGAAGTCAACAAATTCCAGATTCTGAACTTTTTTCTGTACAACACCTCTGAAAACTTTATTGAAGAGTACTTATGAATATGTATAGCATCCTCTATGCTCTTTTTAAAACTCGATGTGCAGTCTGCATTGAGTAAGTGATGCCTATCCTTCCTTTATTAGCGACCCCATGCATCAAAGCCATCAGTCCCAGTGAAGGCTGGACCACCGGCGGGGCCATGGTCATAGTCATCGGGGAGAACTTCTTTGACGGGCTGCAGGTGGTGTTTGGAAGCATGTTAGTCTGGAGTGAGGTAGGACTTGTCTTCAAAACATCTCACTAATGATGGTACATATTATGAAATGAAATACACAGCATATGGCTTGTCTCATTATTTGGATGATTTATGGGCAGTCTTAACCATTTAATCTTTCCATGGCATTGTGTTAGCCTAAATATTTAAAAGGAATGGGAAGGCTTATTTGGAATGCAATTTCTGTGCTTCATCCTCAGTTGATCACTCCTCACGCTATCCGTGTGCAAACGCCCCCTCGACACATCCCCGGGGTCGTGGAGGTCACACTGTCTTACAAATCGAAACAGTTCTGCAAGGGAGCGCCCGGACGCTTCATCTACACAGGTACCTAAACGTAGCCCTGCAATCTTCCTGTCGATAGTTTCAGCAGTCCGAGGCATGAAACTCGGTTGAACTGAGATTTGACATATTGAGTGTTTTTATTTTTTAGCACTTAATGAGCCAACTATAGACTACGGTTTTCAGCGTCTTCAGAAGGTAATTCCCCGACACCCTGGTGACCCAGAGAAACTAGCCAAGGTGAGGAGACTCAACAAAGAAAATTATTATGCTCATTTTCAAACAATTGTAAGTTTTACCCTTTTTTTTTTCTTTGTAGGAGATCCTCTTAAAAAGAGCAGCAGATCTTGTGGAGGCCCTGTATGGAAATCCACACAGTAATCAGGTGACCAGAAACACTTATGTCTAAAACATACAACAAAACATAAAGATGATTGCAAGATTTCAGCATTGTTTGCACATTTTACCACTTCACTTCAAAGTTGGGCTGTGGCTGAGTGGGTAGAGCAGTCATTCTCCAATGCAAGAGTTGGGGGTTTGAATCCACTAGCAGTCACATGCCGAAGTGTCCCTGGGTCCAAAACTGAACCCCTCATTTCCTCTGATGTGTGTCCCATTGGTGTATGAATGTGATAAAGCACTGATTAGTCTCTTTAGAATAATTTGTTTAATTAGCTTTGCAGAGATATAGTAGAGTGCTGTATGAATGGGTAAATGAGTTCACAGATTGTAGTGTAAAGTGCTTTTAGTGTCTTGATAAGATAAAAAGGTGCCATATAAGTACAGTCCACTTACCATTTACCATTACATTACTGATGATCATTTTCCCAAAACACGTATATATTTTGTCTTCTGGATCGGCATCTTCTTAGTATTTTTTTAGTTTTTACAGCTCTGCAGTCAGTATTAAAGTCCCACTTTTCCAGAAAGTATTTCACTCTGAAGATGTGTTGTCAGGAACAAAGCTAATTTTTTACAAGATGCAAACCTTGCGTCGCACTTTCAGTTTGTGGCAGCGTGTAGCATTTTGGCAGATAATTCTCAGCTCACAGATGAAATAAGAACACCTGAATGCACCGGGATGAGAGGGATTCTCAGGAGAACTGTATATGTAGCAAATTGATAACTAGGCCGAGGCTACGGTTTCATTTTTAGAGATTAATTAGTGCATTCCTGTTCACAGGCAAGAATGACAACATTAGCATCCTGCCAACCCATCAAAGCTGCATTGTGTTTCTGTATCTGTGAGACTGACCAAGTGTTTGCTATTTAATCTGATTTTCTGTAGGACATGCTGCTAAAGCGTGCAGCTGACATTGCTGAGGCTCTCTACAGTGTCCCCCGCCCTCACAGTCAGCTGCAGGCCCTGCCTAGCTCACCAGCACATGGCAGCGTCATGGGTTTAGGCTCCTACCCCTCACAGTTAGGCGTTAGCATTGGAGAGCCGGGACAGAGCAGCCAAGGTGAGCAAGAAGCTATTATTTTCTTCTGTTTCTGTAACTAATAAAGGTCAGAGCTTAACCAACACTTGAATGTTTCCTTCAGGTTATATCCGTAACTCCAGCAGTTTGTCTCCAAGAGGCTACTCATCTGCTTCCACCCCCCAGCAGTCAAGTTATGGTGGCACTGGGGGAATGACCGGAGGCTATGGGACAGTTCCCATGGCTAGTCTTGGGGTTCCTGGATCTCCAGGTTTCAGCAGTGCTTCCCCCACGAGCTCACCCTACAGTAAGGCCATGCACTTTTGGTTATTATGAATTTGTCTGATTTTTTAAAACCTATTGCTGACTTTTGTGTTCTGTTCCACAGTAATGCCCTCCAGCCCCACCATACCAGGAAGCTCCAGCTCTTCATCGTCTCTTTTACCTTTCTCCTCTTTCCCTTCTGCTGCTAAACAGAAGAGTGCTTTTGCTCCCGTCCTCAGGCCCCAAGGCTCCCCTTCCCCAGCTTGTCCCGCCTCAGGGGGGAGCAGCTTCAGAGGTAGTCATCCAACTCACTATCTGACCCCGCTGTCTGAACTCACAAATGCAGTCTAACCCCCACTATTAACAAACTCCAAAGCTATGACTGAACAAGACAGGAAAAAAAAAAGAGAGACGTGGATGTACAAAAAAATAAAACAACCTGACTGATTAGAATCATAGATTTTTTGTATATGTTTTTCTCTCCAGCGATGACGAGCCTGGTTGTTCCCCCGATGTAGAAAAGCACCCGCCCCAATCTGCCCCAGAACCACTGCTTTAGCCTCCCTTTGTTTGGCACTGATGGGGCAGGAAGAGCAGAAAACTGACTGCTAGTGACTGCTATAACTTTTGTCCCTGATCCCACCCGTCTTCTCTAAGTCCCGTTTTTATCCAAGTGGACGAACAGGGTGGGGTTTGAAAATGTCCAAAGAGCAGTCGTTTACTCCAGAGGAAAACTCTTCAGCCACAACTGCAGACAGACTCCAACAAGCATCCAACCGGAACATATCTTGCTGTATGTGTCTGTGTAATGTTTCCACCTGGAGATATAAAAAACGCTCCTTTTAGTCACCACTAAATACAAACGGACCTGTGTTGACCTCTGACCCACTGTCACATGCAGGTTTCAGACATTTTTGTGTGCAGGTTGTTGGAACAAATGTCGCAGCTCTCATCAGGGTGTTTTTTTTGTGTATGGACACCCAGATGGCATGTATGTACACTGTCCGTGTGCTAGCAAGAGTTATTATTATTTTTTGTAGTAGACTTTTTGAAGACATTCCAGAAAAATAGAACTTATGTGTTTTTGTTTTGATCACTGCAGTTTATCAAGTTTTTTTGTTTGTTCGTTTTGTTTTATGGGATATTTCTAAAATGAATTCATATATTGATTTATTTAAAAACAAGCAATTTAACTTATTATAGGTAGCTTAGATAAAAGATATAAATGTGTTTTTATAAAGTGTTTCTTTTTCCAGCTGTTAATGAAATTAATTTATCTCAGCGATTGCCAACTAGTTTGATAAGCGAAACCTAGCAATGGATTTTTTTTTTGTGAAAATGCTTTTTTAAAATAAAACGTGATCACTTTACAGTTTCTTGCCACATAAAATATATATGTTATGCCCACAGTTAAAGGTTATTGTTCTTGTGACAAAACTTTTTAGTTAGCTTTATTATTGTTATTATTAATAACATTATTATTTAGACATTTTCACCAAAAATGCATGCTTAATTACACCTGTGCTCTGATACTTTTTTAGTTAATGTCTGGTTTCAGAGCATTATTTTCAACTCAGTACAAGATTCTAGTCTCTATGCAGTACGATAAACAAAAAGCACAGCTCAGAAGAAAGAATCGGGTGCAGAAGGTGTTTATTATTCTCTTGTTAATAGTAATTTTAATTTTACTCACCAAAAGACAAACTACATTCTCAGGTCGTGCCAACAATGAAGAGTAGTCGGTTGCTTTTAGAGCTTGGTCACCCTATTTATTTAAATACAATTAGCAATGTATCGTTATGTTCTTTCAAGACATTTTTTTAATTGATGCAAAAAAGTGATTTGTAAATTTTAAGGTGTAATTATATTTTGTTCTCCAAATAAAACAAATAAGAAGGAAAAAAGAAAGTCGGCCCAACGGAAGTTGTCTCAGTTTTTAGAAAGCAAAAAGTTTTTAATTAGTTGCAAAAACATAAATATCCCCCTTTGATAAATGGTAAAATGCAGGTAATATTTTTATTGGTGCTTGTAACTGTGTCCATGTATAAGTCTGTTAGCAAAATATCTCATAAATCCCTGGATAAAGTAAAAAAAAAACTTGCAGAACCCAATAATTGTAGGTTCATTAACATTTACAGTGAGAAGTATATAACTTTTAAAGTCAACTCAAATCCCTCATAGGTCATTTTGACCCCAGGGCAGCAGGAGGGTTTAAAAAAACAAACATAAACAAATAGAAATCAGCCAGTTTATCAGATATTGACCTAAGATTTGGTGGTATTGAGTCTGACCGCCATCACATTTTCTGTGTCCTAAAATAATACACAAAATCTTTGTTTGGAATTAGCTAATTACTGTTTGGAGTCCACTCTGTAATACGCATTTCTGTTAGCAAAATATTGTATGAAACACTAGATGTATTTAAATGAAACTTTCAGAAAAACAAATATTGTACGCACCTCTACAACTGATTAACTTTGGGAGCGAACCCAATTCAAGATAGCCACCACAGCTAATTGACTTTACAAAACACAAAAGTAGCAATTAGTCCACCAATTTCACAGATATTGTGCTAAAATTTGGTGTGGTTGTAGCTGAGAATTTTTTTTACAATACATACTCTGAGCAGGACATCTTGCAATATTTCATGAGGCTGTGCATAATGTTATCTTTAAGATTTGATTAAAATCTATTCTGTCATTTTCAAAATGTGAAAAATAACTCTGGAATGAAAGACGACTGGGGGTACGCATTCCTTTAAGGAATGCTAGGCCATTCATTTGGCAATATTTCACACACCCATACACTAATATCACATGATGTTGTTCCAAACCCTGAGATTTTCCTGCAAGCCTCCTCATCCGACGCTGTGCTCGTTCTATTTTTGACTGTGCCCATCACCTGTGTGCTCGTGCAGCTTGTTACACTGTTTTGTATACATAGCTGATGAGCCGCAGCATCTTAATTGTGATGCGAGCGTTAAAGACTGAGTAGAGCATGTCAAGATAAACAACACCCCCCTCCCATTTTTCTCCTCTCCAATAAGCCTGCGGCCCTGTACACACGTAGCCTGGTGTTTGAAAAAACGAATATCCGCGCAAAAAAATATCGCCGTACATACATGTTCGGATAGAGAAAATGATCGTCTACATGAACCCGGTGATGTTCACCACAGAGCGTTGTAAAGAATATGCCCAACCCATAGGAGGCAGTGTAGTGCAAAGGTGAAACGTATATCAGCAAATCACAACCCTTCAAAGCAACCACAACTTCCTGTTAGTATTGAATCATGGCGCCTGGAGGTTCGTTTGTGTGGACAGACCGCGAGGTTGAACTACTATTAAATACCGTGTTGGAGTACAAAGTTAATAAAACTCAGGAAAATGTCGACTGGGAATCCTGTCAGAACAAGTATGTTGATATTTTAGCGGTTTTTTTAGAGCATTACCCAACGGGGTCCTCCGACGAGTTTCCCCATTCACATGCCGACATCACGCGCGGGAATTTAACAACAAAAATGAAAGCAGTCCGAGGTAAATATCGCCATGCTGTTGATACAGGACGCAGGAGTGGACACGGTCGAGTGGTTCTTCTGTACTTCGAACTGTGCGAACAAATCTGGGGTGGCTCTCCAGCTAGTACTACCATATCCTCCGGTATTGAAACAGCTGACCTGGATCATTCTTGGACCCTACCCTCACCATCCACATCTTCTTCCTCCACTACCATGGATGTAGCAGACACAGGGTCTGATAATGAAAGCAGTGTGGGTCCTACTTCAAAGGAGAGGAGAGACCTGCTTGATGTACGTATATTTTTCTGTCCATTCCTCATAAATAAAAGTACTTTTGCTGTAAATGTTCATCTGTTGGATGTACTATAATTCACGGAACAGGTTTGTTGAATTGTGTTGCTATTAAAAATACAGTTAAGGCAATATGTGTGTTAAAAATTATGCAAGAGTTGAGGTGTGTAGTGGAGGCTGGAATGTGATGTTTTTTATATTTTACTGTGTACGGGTTGCTGATTTATTTTTATTATTATTGCAAAAAAGAAATGACACCATCATGCTCTTACTCATCTCATATTATGTTAGGCCTACATATTCATTAGTTTGATGGGGTGGTGGGTACAAAATACACTTTAAGACATATAGCAAACATTGGATACGCTGTTATTACATATTGTTATGTAGAAGTGATGTGAAAAGTACAACATCAACATGATCCAGGTTTACTTTTTTATGTTTAATTGTGATGATTTTCATTTCTCTTTTGAAGGCAAAACTAAAAGGACACAGACACGACCGTCTGAGGAGAAAGCTGCCTGCTGAGACCCAGTGGCTGAATGCTCTTGAGGAAGACCAGCGTGTGAAAAAGAGACTGGTGGAAATCATTGAGACATCAGAACAAAAAGCATCCGAAAACTATTCAAAAATGTCCAATACACTGGAAAGACTTACCACATCGATTGTTGATGGGTTTTCTCTTCTGAAACAGGTCATTCATGCACCTGCACAACCACCACAGTACATGCCATATGAGCCAAGAGGTCCGATGTATTCGCACACAATGGCCCACCATTCTGTCCACCAAAACTCAGCAAATTACCCATACCCAAACAACTCCACTTCTGACAGAACACGTCAAAACACAAGACCAGGAAACACTATGAACACTGAAGCTGTGTTC